CAGAGAGGCATTTTTTGACAAATGTATTGATGCAATGTTGAATATTATTACACAGGAAAAACCAACTACATGTAAAATAATCCCAGCGTGACACCTCTGCCTTTGTAAATGGAGGGACAGTAACTGCGTGTAAAACCTGCAGACAGTCAGATTAACAGTATTTCGTCTCTATCATTCTGCAGTTCATCTCGTGTAAACAATAACGTGGCCACAGCGTGACGTGGAAAAGGCACACACCTTTGACGCTGCGTGACGAACTCTGTATTCCTCGTCCACACGTAAACGCAAAAAAGGAGTTTAAAAAAATCTCCGTTTACGTGGACGAAACAGCTGCGTTTTCAAAAATACTCGTGTAGGTGTGAACGCAGCGTAAAAGAGTTCGTAGTTTATTTTATTACTGCCTGTAATTTATTGCAGTTTACTTGCATTTGCTTAATTGTTTACTAAATGTTTGAGGTGAAATAAACTGCAATGCAGCAAAATATGGGCGTGTGTGGTTGGAGGATGTGTTTGTGTGTGGGGGGCATTTTTCCTGTAAAACAAAGGGGGGCCTAGCAAAATAAGTTTGGGAGCCACTGACTTAGAGAGTTCCTGAGTTTGACAGCCTGAACTCTTCCACCTGCGGCAGATACGCAGGAAGGTGAGCTTGTTTCCTGTCTCTTTCTCGTGGCGCAGCTCTGGGGTCTCTCCATCATCACCTCCGCACTCAGCAGCCTCGTTAAACTGAACCACAACTCAAACCGTGTGGAAGAAGTGGGAGAGGAATGGGCTCTGAGTCGGGTGTTTGTGTTGTGACCGTATGCATGGAGCTGCAGACAAACACAGCATTTCGATTGGCTGCTTTTCCCTAAAGTCCGCACAGCTGACTGAGAGGTGCACAGGTCTGTGTGAACTTCAGAGCCGAAGGGGAAACCTGCAGTCTGAGCTCGTGTGTTCACAGGTGTCCCAACCGCGATACTAAATGAATTATTAATAATTGCATTAAGTCTGATTCAGAGTCTCATCTGTCACCTTATAAGAATGAATCTCCTGTCAGTGTAGCAAAGGCATCGCGCCTCTATTTTGAAAGGCTGCCAAAACCAGTCCAAACAGTGTGAATAACAAGGCTGGACAGATGTTAACGATGGATGATTTTAAATGATCACCCCATGAATCAGCACAGCTGCCAAACACTTGTCACTTTGCACAAACAGGGTCATTCACAATTAACAGCCGCCTCACAGTCGGGGTCATGCAGCCATGTTGAATTTTGTTTCATCAGCAGGCTGATTAGAAGAGCAGATGTGCAGATGTTGGTACCTGTGAAATGAAATGTTCCGCTTCTCTCTTAGAAAAACTGCAGATTTAAGTTTCACATCTTAGACCCCGAGGTTACGTCCACCTTTTAACTACAGTCTGTGTGTGTGTGTCTGTGTGAGTCACTGGTGCTGCTTCACAAACGTCACAGCTTTGTGTCTTTGCTGATGTGAAGTGAGTGTTTGTACTGCTTCTACCAGGAGGAGGTGAAGCTCGGCGGAGCGCCCATGTCGCTGTCAGCTGACCTGAGCTGCCTGCAGGGCAGCAGAGGCGCCGAGCGCGAGGTGGCGCTGACCACGCTGGAGAAACAGCTGATCTGCCCCATCTGCCTGGAGATCTTCAACAAACCCGTCGTCATCCTGCCGTGCGAGCACAACCTGTGCAGGAAGTGTGCCAACGAGCTCTACCAGGTCTCCGGCACGCACGCACACGCACGCACGCACACACACGCACACAAAC